AAAAAAAAAAGATTGGAATATAAAATACTTCTCACATTTCTATGTTAAATTACTAACATTTTTTACCAATATAATTTTTTTGTTAAACACGTATATTCTTGTTAAACATAAAAAAACAGAAAATGTATTATTTCGGATCAATTCATGCAATCGCAACTACATATTCTATGGCATGGCAACACTGAGAACTGCCCCGCCAACCCCCGGCCGGCGCTTCGACAACATCCCGGGAATAAAATAATATTTATTCTTATCTCAATAATTGTTTTGACCATTCCGTGCCGTCGAAGAGTTTTTGCATTGCCTTTTGTGTTTTGAAAATAAACTGGGTAAAACCTTTGGTACAACTTCAGAAATTTTTGATAGGAAAAGATTACGTTTATCTACTGAACGTAAAAATTGACGACTTCCTATAAAAAAAATCTAGGTGAAATGGTAATATTAAGTACATTATTTAATATAATTAATAGGTGTGGTAACTAGGTAATTACCGCACGCGAGAGAAATTTGCAATCTCTAAGGGCGGTAATAGCCTAATTACCATACCTATTATACAGTATTTTATCTACAATCATGCGGGAACAAAATATCTAAAAGAAGCTTAAAGAATGATGAAAAAAATGAGCCTTTCACTTTTGACAGTGAACAAGTAGAATTTAGGTGATAGGTATAGGTAATATATTTTTGGTAGGCGATTGAAGGTATTACGTACCTATGTGGATAGAGCGTGCGGTAATAATATTATCGCATGCCGTGCGGTAGAGTGCACTTCACCGCACTCATTTGCGTGTCGTAGGGAGCCTACTCAGTGCTGAAGAGTAACTTTTCCTACAGCCGTGCGGAAAAATCGATTTTCCGCACTGATATGCGTGCGGAAAATGAGTTTTCCCGCACGGTGCGGTAAAACTTTTTTTTTTGACATGTCAGTGCGGGAAAAATTTTTCCGCACGGCTGTCAGTGCGGAAAAAATTTTACCGCACTGATATGTCAAAAAAAAAAAAAGAAAAATTTTACAATTTTTCGCCTGTAGGAAAAATATTGTACCTAACACTTGCGGAAAATATTTTTCCGCACTTGTTAGGTAAATAGCTATTACCTACAAGCGTGCGGTAAAGTGCACTTAACCGCACTTATTTGGAAATGGAAAGTAGCACTCTACCGCACACTATGCCGTAAAGTTACTTCACCTACGAGCGTGCGGTAAAGTGCACTTTACCGCACGTATTTGCAAATGGAAAGTATCACTTTACCGCACACTATGCGGTAAAGTGCACTTTAACGCATAGTGTGCGGTAAAGTCAACTTTACAGCATAGTATGCGGTAAAGTAGAACACAAAGTGTGCGGTGAAGTGCACTCTACCACATAGTGTGCGGTAAAGTAGAATTTGATATTTATAATCAAAAATCCTCTTTTTTTCAGAAAATGGATTTTTGATCATTTCTAAATTTTATCTAATTTAATTAATTAATCTGAACCATTAATTAATTTGATCAATGCCTTTTTTTTGGAGTTGTAGATGCTCATAGGTAAAATTTTGTACCTAACACATGCGGAAAGTGCCTTTACCGCCCTTAACGGCTTAACGGCTGCCGTTGCGTGCGGTAAAGTATCACTTTCCGCATTTGTTAGGTAAATAACTAGAACCGCATAGTATGCGGTAAAGTGGACTGCAAGTGTGCGGTAAAGTTAACTTTACCGCATAGTATGCGGTAAAGTAGATTTTGGTATTTATGATGAAAAATCCTTTTTTTTTTTCAGAAAATGGATTTTTGATCATTTCTAAATCTAATCTAATTTCATCAATTAATCTGATTCATTAATTAATTTTATTAATGCCTTTTTTTTGGAGATGTTCATAGGTAAAATTTTGTACCTAACACATGCGGAAAGTGCCTTTACTGCCCTTAAGGGCTTGACCGAACTCCGCTCCGCGTCGTTCCGTCAACTGCCGTTGCGTGCGGTAAAGTATCACTTTCTGCATTTGTTAGGTAAATAACTATTACCGCATAGTGTGCAGTAAAGTAGACTTTGGTATTTATAATCAAAAATCCCTTGTTTTCCAGAAAAGAGATTTTTTGTCATTTTTAAATCTAATTCAATTTTATTAATTAATCTAATTCATTAAATAATTTAATTGATGCCTTTTTTTTGGGGGGTGTAGGTGTAGGTAAAATTTTGTACCTAATACATGCGGAAAGTGCCTCTACCGCCCTCAACGGCTTGACCGAACTTCGCTTCGCGACATTCAATCAGTGCTACTTTCTATTTAAAAACAAGTGCGGTAAAGGTGTTTACCGCACGTTCGTAGGTAATAGTTATTTATATCACAAGTGCGGTATGAACTTCATTTATTACAGTAAAGAGTGGTAATCACACGAGTGGTGTAATGAGCGTTACCGTACGTGTGATATACAGCATTTTATGTATGACGCAGATTTTTTTGTATGTATTCCAAATTGGTTTTATTTTCCACAAAAGATTAAATTTAACTTTTCCGAATAAATTAATTTTAAAAAATGCCCTTTTTCAATGAAAATGAGTTACGTAATGAGCGCCTTACATCACAAGTGATTTATATTACATCACTAAGTACGATAATACAACTTATTACGTAACTCAAACACTCAAACAGGCTTAAATGAGTTACGTGATAAGCTCTTACAGTGTGGGTCGTACATAAAAATTCTTTACCGCAGTGCTGTAATAGTATATTACAAAACAAGTGTGGTATTTAGGTTATTACCGCACACGAGAGAAATTTGCCAACCGAGCCGGTGAGGCGAGCTTTGCAATCTCTAAGGGCGGACATAATCTAATTAGTAATTACCATACGAATTATATACAGTATTTTATCTACAACCGTGCGGTAGCAAAATATTTGATGGAAAATTATAGAAAATAAAATTGCTTCTGGCACATTAATTTGACAGTGGATGGATAGAATTTAGGTGATAGGTATGTAATTGAAGGCATGCGGTAATAATATTACCACACGCTATTACAGCACGTCATGCGGTAATAAAATTACCACACGTCGTGCGGTTATATAGTACATACCGCACGCAAAATCGTGTGATATACCTTAGTTACCGCACGCTCGTAGATGAAATTTCTTTACCGCACTCTTTTAAAAATACGTTTGATAGTGTTCATATTCTTTATTAATGTAGGGTAAACCACCCAGTTACCGGACACCTTGCAGTTATTGGACGGTTTGATTTTAATAAATGAAAACAAGATTCCTAGTTCTATTACTTCGTCAATAACATCATAGATGGTGCCATTTATATATCTCTTAATCATCCGTTTTGTTGCGCAATCGCAGTATCGACATTAAATTGGCGCGAAAAAATAATATTCTTCGGTACGCAAACAGCGGGGCCTTATCTTGCAGTTTTATTTAGAAACAAAGTGTGAATTTTTTACGAAAAGTTGCAGGAAAGTGTGGTTATCTTGGTTTAGATAATTGTGAGACCTGAAGAGGTGATTAAGGTAAGTGTTTAAAGGTTACAGGCGAAAGCTATCTTTAGTGAGGTTGGAGTTTAAGGGGTGTCCAATGACTGGCATGAGAAGCCTCACTTTTTCAAATATTGGACAACTGTCCAATAACTGAGTTGGGCGGTATTTTCGGTTATATTGCAGCAAATTCAAGGTTTCTGATTCCGTTCGTTTCAGTACAGGTTACGCTCAAATATTCTATTTCCAAGCAGTTATTGGACACCTGTCCAATAAATGGAATGGGTCTGTCCAATAACCACTACTTCAATATTTATTCCTAGAATGCCTAAAAAAGGTCAATATGATTCCAATTCTATGGAGACTGCAATGAACGAGGTTAAGAACAATAAATTGGGCTTGAGGGCAGCCGCTAAAAAATATGGCGTTCCAAAATCAACGTTGGAATTTAAACTTAAAAACCCCGGTCATAAAGAAACTTGCGGTCCATCACCCATTTTGGCATTAAGAGAGGAGCTACAGCTGGTGAAGTAGGTTAAATAGCATCCGTGCGAACTAATAGACTTAAACCACATTGTGATTATTCTTAATATTCTTACAGGTGGATAGAAGAGTTAGCAAATAGAGGTTTTCCAAGGAAAAAAGAAGATATCCTGAATAGTGTTCAGCAGTTTCTAATCGAAAATCCACGACCGAACCCGTTCAAAAATAATAGACCCGGTGATTGTTGGTTTAAGGTAAATCTGAACATTTTTCACCTAAGTTTTTTATTCCCGCTAAACAAGATTCAGAATTGGTGTTTTCATGGCGGCTCCTTTTAGGCTTTTCTAAGAAGACATCCGACAGTTGTACAAAGAACTACTGAAGCAGTTAGTAGCGCAAGTGCTTGCGTTTCTGAGGCAGATATAAGAAAATGGTTTGGGGAAATTCAAGACTATCTGAAGTTGAAAAATATTGATATCAATGATCCTTCCCGAATCTATAATGGCGACGAAACAGGCTTCCAAATTTGTCCTAGCACTGGGAAAGTTTTCGCCGGGAAAGGCGTGAAAAATGTGTACTCCATAGATAAAGGATCACAAAAAGAAAACATCACTGTCATGTTCTCTTTTTCCGCCTCAGGAATGACATGTCCACCCATGATTATATATCCCTACAAGAGAATTCCAGAGAAAATAGCCATTACAGTGAATCCAAGTTGGGGAATCGGCCGATCCGATAATGGATGGATGACATCAGACACATTTTATGATTATATTAAAAACATATTTCATCCATACCTAGTTGAACACCAGCTCCAGTTTCCAGTTGTATTATTCTTGGATGGGCATAAGTCCCACTTGACATATGAACTGAGTCTTCTCTGCAATGAGCTAAATATAGAAGTGATTGCCCTCTATCCAAATGCAACTCGAATTTTGCAACCTTGTGATGTAGCGGTATTTAGACCAATAAAGATGGGTTGGAAGAAAGCCGTTAGAAATTATTATGAGCAAAATCCAGGACAAGTTCTCAATAAATTCTCTTTTGCTCCCCTCTTAGAAAAGGTGGTGACAGAAGTAGTCAAACCAGAGGCGCTAATAAATGGATTCAGAGCATGTGGACTATACCCATTTAATCCAGAAGCTATCGACTATTCAAAGTGTTTGGGAAAGCTCAATAAAGCTATCGAGGTAAGTTTGGAAATCATACTTGCTTTTCTACTTTTTTTTTAATATTCTTTTTATTTGATTTTCAGGAAAATAATTCTGATCCTGTCATGATGGATGGCAAGATATTCAGTAACTTTGTTGGAGGTGACATAATCGCTAGATTCAAATCATATGATGCCATTCTCATCAAAGAAGGATTCACTCCTGAATTTTTAGCCCTCCACAGGATGTGGAGATACTTTGGAAACCCCATTGAAACAGGGGTGGAGAATGCTCTTGCTCAAATAGATACTGAGTTGAGTAATGAACCTGAAAACTTCAATCATGATAAAAGATGCTTCGGAAACCCTAAGGAAACAGAGGTGGAGAATGCTCTTACTCAAATAGATACTGACTTGAGGAATGAACCTGAAAACCCCAATAATGATGATAAGACTACAGAAGGAAATGAAAATAATATCAATTCAGAAATTGATTCGATTACGATGATTGAACCCTCAAAGAGTGAGGCGGTCCATGTATTTGCCAATGTCATTATTAGGAATGTAGATGATTCATCACGAACCAGTTCCCCTGTTTTTATCACAGATTCCAATTGTAAAAATTCACCTGATATTGAGACAATAAGACAAGAAACTGAAAATTCAGAACTACCTAAAGCTTCAAACGTGCAAATAAATAACAGCACTACCGATTCGATACACAAGAGCTCTAGTCCTGCATCAGTGGGTAGATGTATTGAAGACTACCTCAAAATTCCAGATAAGCCTCAGCGTAAAAACAAGCGTCAAGTAGAACGGGTATCTTTTGCTATAACTTCGCGACTCTACCAAGAAAATTTTGAGGCTAAAAAAGCTATCAAGTTGGAGGAGGAGAATAAAAAGATTGAAAGGAAACGTAAAAGGGAAGAGAAAGCTGCAACTAAAACTAATTTGAAAAATAAGAAAGTTTGTAAATCAAATCAAAATAAAATAAATGCAATCTGTTCCGTTTGTAAGAAACGCTTAACCAAAAGTAAACACTGGACATGCAACTCTTGCCATAAGAAGTTTCATAATCTCTGCATTCCAAAAAAACACAAAGAGCATGTTCCCGATATAGGTGATGAAGATTTATTTATGTGTCATAATTGCTACGAAGAGGAAAATGACGAAGATAGTACCATTAGTGAGGAGAGTTTTGATGATTTAAAAAATGAGGGAGATGGCTTTAGTGGAGATCAAAGACTTAAGATAGAGGAGCTGATGAACTTGGCAAACAATAATAATTGTTTAGCAAGCGAAAGAGAAAAAGATACAACAAGAACTGACGACGCGCGTGATGCGAACTTACCTGACGCAAATTTGATTGAAACATGTCAAGAAGAAAATCAAGAAAGACCGGAAATAGATGAGTTTTATAGTGTGAAATTAGTCAGTGATGATCTGGATGAATTAAACCCATACGTTGAACAAAGTACTTTAGACGAGGATCAAGACGCAGATGAGCTTTTTACTATGTATAAGAATGCTTATAAAAAATTCTAATAATGTTTGATGGTGGTAGACATGAATAAACATTCATGAAATTATACTTGAATAAATAAAATCAAAACCGTACCTACCTGGATCATTAATTTTTGAATGTCCAATTACTAGATTGAGTATGTCCAAAAACTAGGAAAATTGTCCAATAACTAAGTTTTTTGACATAAGCCCAGTTTTTTCATTGTTAAAAATCATATTTTTTCCTACCTAAAATTGTGAATACTAGAATGTAAGGCCAATATATTTTCCATTAAAACGAGCCATCACTCATATTTCTAGGTAGAAAAATAAATTTTCAGCATGGTCTCAATTTTTTTGAAATCCTTAATTGTCCAATAACTGGGTGGTTTACCCTACACTAAGTGCGGTAAAAATTCGTAGGAAAAATTTTGTTCCCAACATGTGCGCAAAGTTTCATTTCCTCGTCCAAAAACTTATCCGAACTCCGCTTGACGTCGTTCGTATAAAGTCTGTTTTTTTTTTAAAGATAAAAGTCAAAATGGCATTATGTTGGCAAATTTTCAATGTAGAAAAGGCTTGTGTTGCCAACATAGTTGCTCACTAAATTTTTGACTTGGGGAATATTTACAAAAAAAAGAGACTTTAACTGTGTTTGCGTGCGGAAAAGTAACACTTTGCGCATTTGTTAGGAAAATAACTATCTCAGCATCAATAATGACAATAACAATGATATTACTGATGCTCATCCATCAAATTAAAAAAAAAACTCAATGGAGATAAATTCTGCGGAATCCATGAGGTAAATTTACTAGGTCACAGGAATATCAGATTTTTTTATTTAAAAAAAAAAAAACAAGCTTTACCCATTTATCGTTTCTTTAGGGCCGGCTTATTCACCTTCTGATAAACTGTCAGGTTATGTAATCTGACGGATAAAAACACAATTTGTCAAAAAATTACGACATTTTCACACTCATTTCTGTGCGAAATATCTCAAATTGGTTTTATTTACCTTAGCGACGTGCACGAAATACTTTGCGCACTAGAGCACGAAATACTTCGTGCACTCCAATGCCCGTATTAAGTCTGTGTATTTTTCCGTGTATTTATTCATGTAGTTCAGGGTGACAACCGAAAAACTTCAAACGCAACATAAATCAGCATTATGAACAACCAAATAATGTTGGCACCCTGAACTACATGAATAAATACACGGAAAAATACACACATGTAATACGGGCACAACAGTGGTTATAATACCTATTTTAGTAGTTCAATGTGCTTCAAAAATACTCAAATTGGAGGAAATTGAACGACAAAGTGTGTAATAAAAATTAACTAGCGTATACCTACCTGGGGTGCGCTACTACGCTAAAAAAAGAATTACATTTTGTTATTTTTATTTTTTTCCATTTACTTTATTTGATATGATAAACGCGATAATCACAAATGATAAAACCAAATAAATCCTCCTACGCCTTTGGTTATCTTCTGATTTGAATATGGCTACCGTGCGCCAATGAACTTTAGGATAAATAATTTGGGGCGAAGCCAGCCGAGCGACGGAAAGTGGTCGGCAGCTAGCGGTGTTGCCAAATTGTGTGAAAGCGTAACTCGTGAACTACAAATGGCGCTGCGATCGAATCTCAATTATGCGGGAGGTACACAGGCCTCTTAATATTACATTTGACAAACGAGATAGAAGTAAATAATAGTTATTTATGCAACAAGTGTGTAAAGTGAACCTTTTCTCACGAATGCGAATTTTGACGCACGAGCCGGGGGCGAGTGCGACAATCACATGAGTGAAAAAAGGTTCTTTACGCACGTATTGCATACAAAATTTATTCTACTACCAATCAAATATGTGTAAAAAAATAGATTTAGACACTAGTGCGTGAAGTATTTTCATTTCAGGCACTAGTGCGTGAAGTAATTTACCAGAAAAATGCTAAATTGACAGTGTCGACATCTGTCATTGAGATAACTTTACGCACTAGTGTGTGAAGTGAATTACTTTACGCACTAGTTCGTGAAGAAAAATTTTACGTCTTCTAAGTAGTGCGTAAAGTAAGTACTTTAAGCACGGTAGTAGAAAAAAGTATTTTAGAACTAAAAAAGAATTCCGCACCTGGCTATGATCAAATATCTGTATGTGATTTATTTATACTTAAAAGCATACTTCCTCCAGTATTAGTTGAATTGATAAATAATGTTTTTCTACTACCGTGTGTAAAGTACTCACTTTACACACGTTTCAGAAGACGTAAAATTTCACTTCACGCACTAGTGTGTAAAGCAATTCACTTTACACATTAGAGCGTAAAGTAATGTCAATGACAGATGTCGACAACTGTCAATTTGGTATTTTTCTGGTAAATTACTCCACGCACTAGTGCGTAAAGTATTTGTCCAAATTTAGTTTTTCACACATATTTTATTGGTAGTAGAAAAAATGTAGTATGCAATACGTGTGTAAAGCACCTTTTTTCACTCATGTGATTGTCGCTTGATTGTCAAACTTCACATTTGTAAAAAAAGGTTCACTTTACACACTTGTTGCATAAATAACTATTTAGATATGGGTGTATTTCCGGATGAGATAAAAATACGCAAACCCCTATATTTAAAGCAGGTTTAAAGGAAAATTCGAATAAAAATCCTCCAATTTCAGTAATTTCATCTCTCTCAAAAGTGATTGAAACTATAGTGAAACACAGAATACTTTGATTTGTAAACGAGCATAATCTACTTGACTATCAATATGGATTTATAAAAAATAGAAATACTTCATGTGCTGTGTTTGATACCGCAATGACGAAAAACTTTCGATGTAGTAAGTATTGATATTTTTTTAGGAAAGCTACACCAATTGGGATTTAGGGGTGCAGTGTATAGGTTGATAAGTTCTTACCTAACTGACAGACGTCAATACGTGAAGTTGGGGCATAGTCAAAGAGATAGACAGTCAAATTGGACCACTTTTTTATGTACTGTATGTTCTTAGTTTATAATTGGCAAATTTGAGGGGGCGATACTACACGTTTGCAGACGATACTGTACTTATTTATGAGAAAGAAGATGGAGTAGACCTAGAAACTAATAAATGATGATCTTGGTGTTTATTTTAATTGGCTTAGATTCAATAGATTAAAAATAAATGTCGATAAGACCAAGTTAGTTATCATCACTAAATATTAAAATTCATAATATAAACATAGAAAGGGTAAAATCAATTAAATATCTGGGATACATAGTGGATGATTTTTGTCTCATTTCAGATACATGATCCCAATATGGGGCACTTGTGGTAATGTTGGGTTAAGATCTATGCAAACATTACAAAATAAAATATTTAAGATTCTTTTTTCATTTGAGTGGTTGATTCCCACCGATTACCTTTACAGTGATTTGGGTGTCTGTCAGTTGAGAAAGCTACTGGAATTAGAGCAAAGTAAACATATTCATAAAATCATTAATAAGACAATTAAATGTAATATTAGCTTGTCTTTCAATAGGGATCTTCATTTGTATAATACTAGGGTGCAAAATAACATATATCAAGAAGTTGTTAGGAGTAATATTGGTCTGAATAGCCCATTAAGTAGAGCTATAAGTCAGTATAACCGTTTACCGTTGGCTATAAGGAATATCACAAATTGTAATTCATTTTTAAGTAAGCTTAAACAACACCTACAAATATGTTCATAAACTACTCTGTACTAAAATATTCAAAACTAGTTGGTAAGCAAGCACAAAATTCGGTAATGATTCCGATACCAGTGTTTAACACACTGCTTAGGAATGTTATTGTTATTGTAACTTAAATATATTTTATGGAATAAAAATGTTCAAAAAAAAAACTGTTGGTTTTGTTGTAGTGGCTTTTCTTCAAGAGAAGTTTCCCTGACATGTTTATCAATGAGTTTCTCAATCGTCTACATAATAAAGGACGATAGTGTAATTGGTCTAAATGCTTTTGCTCGCGAGAAGTCTTTCCCAGGTTTTTGTAAAGAGACAATTCTGGACTTTCTCCATGTTTAGGTTATATATCCTGTGGCTACGTTAGCCCTTAGTAGCCTGCAGAGTGGCGGTATTATGATGGACTTGTCCTGCTGGAGTAGAGCAGGTTTAATTCTATAGGGCCCTGGCGATTTAAATGGATCAAAATAGTTTATTGCCCATTTTATTTTTTCATAGGTTATGATCTCTTTTGCTGTGTCCCAGTTCTCCAGTCTCGTAGATTTTGTGATCACTATCAATTGGTGAGTTTCTTTCTGTTATGATTTCGACTGATTCTAGGAGGTGAGCATGCAGTAGAATCTACAGAGTCTCTCTTCCAGAATCTGTGTAGGTGCCATTCGGTTTTTTGAGGGTCCCAATTGGATTTAAGGTATCCTTGGACAGAATTTTTTGGAGTTTCGCAGCTACTTTGGTGTTTTCAACCTCTTGGCAGTATTTCCCCCATGATTCGATTTTTGCCTTCCGGATATCTGACTATTATACTATCAAGGTGAAGTGGTAGTCGTCCCACCTGCCCGTTTTTTTCGCTCTGTTGTACAGCTCGCGTTTTTCGTCCTGAGATCTGAAAGTTCTTTGTTCTACCAGGAGAAATCTTCTCCGGAGTTTTGCTCTCAGGGGACAGTTGTTCTGATAAGAGGTTATTATAGCCTCCTGTAGTTCACTAGCTGCCAATTCTATATCAGTGGCATTTTTAATGTCAGTTTTGTCCTGGTCGCAGTTAGCAAGCAGATCTTCCACATATCCCTCCCAGTTCGTCCTCCTCTGATCACGAAAGTGCTCTGCTGGTCTCTCTTCTTGTGAAATTTCTGTGCAAATATGTCTGTGATGAGACAGGGACGATTCTCCTGACACGCGCCACGAGGTCATCTGGGAGCTTATACGGGAAGAGGCCAAAGTAATATCTAGAACCTCTTTACGAGTTCTTGTAACAAAATTAGGTTCATTACCTATTGAGAATTTCCAAATTTTTTGAAATGATGTAGTCTAATAGGTACTCACCTCTAATGTTGACGTTG